AGAGAGAGAGAGAGAGAGGGAGAGAGAGAGAGAGAGAGAGAGAGAGAGAGAGAGAGATGCATAACGTTTTTCGTGAGACGTCGTAAAGCAGTCTTCAGTTTTCAACAGCGTGAATGAACGTTGTCTCCGTTCTATCTTCCGCATAACTTTCTTCATCTACCTTTCTTATACCCTTACCTCGTTCCCGCCATTTCCATCTCCTTTCATCTCGAACCCTCGCGCAGCTATGCCATAAACTCACCACCACCACCGGAGATTCGACGGCGACGGCAGCAAACTTCGCTAGGAAGCATATCCACTTTCAACTTTGAGTTTGCGGGCAAATCGAAATTCGTTTCTCAAATTGGATTACTCCTACCTTTCCTTCTCTAACTGTGTGCGTGGACTTGTTTGTGTGGATTTCTCATAAACTTGTTTTTTGAAAATATACCTACGTGTAAATAATGTTGAACAAATTTTATTATTATTTTTAAGAACGTGTATAGACAGAATATAATTATGTTAATAATTAATCGAAGTTTTGATACACTTTTATAGCACTATAGATATTATATTTATCTTATACTTAGCGAATTTGTAAGTACTTTAAAGCGCAAGTTTTTCAACATTGAAAGTGCATTGAGTGGATAGTTATAGACTGTCTTACCATTAACCGATGTACAAGCTATGGAACTTTATACCTGGCGCGATATAAACTACTAAAGCTGGCATAAAAGCTTCGAAGAGTGCGAGCTTTATTCGTTACGAGGGACCTTTGAAAGAAAAAGTCGCGAAAAGTCTTGGGGAAAGTCTAGATACATTTATTGTATACCTACATTTATTGATATTTTATTGTTTTTTGTTTCAGGCTGATATTTTTCATCCTAAACCTGTAGATAAAAGGCCTCAAAGTGTTCGGCCCAGTGGAAACCTTTCACCCGTTCGAGCTGTGCAGGTTGACAATATTATTTATTATATATATTTTTATTTTCAAGTTCCGTAGATATGTTTGATCGTTTTAAAATGATGGATATAGTATAAATTATTGCATTATTTTAACGAAAGTACGAACAGCTAAAACTTTTCTACATGACTTTACCTTTATCTCGGTGGATGTGACTAATAAAAAGTTTTTTATGCATATGCCTTTCCCAACACCAATGAATCAGAGAAACTACATTTTCATATATATATGCAAATATGAAATTTCACGCACCTAGTTAGATATTTTGGAAAGAATATAAATAAAGAAAATAGACGTTATTTAATTTCATTTCAAATCTTTACTATCATTGACATTTTATCGATGAGATAACTTCCGGCATCTATCGTAAAATGTGATTCGATTGACTTTAATGTCTCGTTGCAAAGACTGAGAAAAGGAAATATTTCAAGTTCATGTATGTGATTCAAGCCGATTGAGAAATATCGACGATTCGATCTAACGTTTGCTGTTATTTCAGGTTTTCCCACGTGTACCAGCCCGGAACAGTGGCCGGTATACAAGGTGAGATTCTATTCTAATTATTCATAATTATCATTTAATGAAACATTTTTTTCATACCGCGACTATTAGGGTTGGAATTTTTCAAATTGCGAAAGAAACAGTAGAACAAATACTAAATTGAATGAACAAAACAATTCCAACCCTAATTATTCAAGTATGAACTTGACATCATTTGAATGGTGAACAAACAAATATTTAAACACTTTGGCAATCGCTGATCGTATCGCAGTGAAAATACTTAAACAAGAAAAAAGTATTAAACAAAAAATACATTCATTCGAAAAATCAGGTTTATTAAAGAAAATTTCAAAGTCTTACAAAGTATCGTTTTCATTCTCAGACGAATTATTCGCAATAAACAGAAGAAGAATGTACGTATACTACTAACATCGTTGTATTAAAGAGCATAGTTACTAAACCACGCATATAACCTATAAATGGGTGGAGTGCTATAAAGTCCATTCATGATCGCGTACAACAAATGTCGGCCGGTTCGCGTCACCCGGCTCGTACACGATTTATCGCGTTCCTATTCGTAAAGCGTCTTTACACCGAGTTGCCACGTTTGTATACGATTTCGCTTACGATTTTCCGCGTGTAGGTTAGGTATTTCAAAGTTTTAAGGGAGTAGATGACGTCACTGTTTTGTAGAAAATATCTAAATGGGTCATACATACATATATAATTGTTTTTATTTAAATAAACTGTAAGAGTTATTAATCGAGGTGAAAGATCTGTAGTCGTCTAAGACAATTAAGGGGGTTCATTAAAATAATTAGCGGAAAAGGTAGTATATGAACGATTCGATTCGGCGCGTGGTTCCCGCGCATGGCGCTATCTGGTGTCACGCGGGATGGATGGCCGTTCGGACGAAAAGCGTGTGTGCAGTCAGAGTTGTTGTCAGACCGTTTTACTTTACTGCCCATAAAAGTACCGAGATTTAGACTGCAATACTGGCATGACGTATTGCCGTCTCTCTTTCTCTATTTGCCTCTCTATCTTTCTATCTCTGTTTCTCTCACATACGGTCTTCTCCCTCCCACTCGTTTCCTTGCCACAGAGTCATCCATGCATCGCGTAGGATACTAACGCACCACGCGGACACTATAATCTGTATATTGTGCTCGTCACGGGGCGTGATCCACGAGGTCGTTTCTTCGAGTACGCATGCGGTTCGGCGGGAAAATCTTATCTTAGATCGAAAAAGATCGTTTCTTCAAATGTTTCAAATAATCTTTAAGAACAAAATAGAATCGCGATGATAGTCGAGTAGTGTATCAAGAGAAATAGCAATCTCCTATAAATCCTTTTAGATATTGGAACAGATCCAAAGATCAAGTATATATCGTATGTTCTTTGATAGGCTCATCAACGATAGCGATATAAATCAAATAGCTTTTTCTCATTAGTGTTGTCATAAGAGAGGAAGAAGAAGAGAGTTAAGAATGCGTGCCGAGGCTGCGGTTGACGCACCTGCCGTTCATTCGTCGCTTCGATCCAGGTCATCGGCTACATAGAGCTGTCTTTCTTTTTCGTCTTGCTAAGAAGATTTTTGGAAAGAGCGCGATACCGTTGAAAGAGCAGAAAAGACTGTAGCGTTTGTCGGTATCTAACATGGTTGGGAGGAAGGGAGACATAGGGAAAAGAGAAGGAAGGCGCGAGAGAGAAAGGAAGAAAGACGATAGAAAGAGTGGGAGGTAGAAACAAGAGTGAGAGAGAGAGAGAGAGAGAGAGAGAGAGAGAGAGAGTGAGAATGCGAGAGAGAGAGAGAGAGAGAGAGGGCAGATTAGAGCATACGAGTTTTCGCTGGTAGAAGGGGAACAGCGGTGGGAGTAGTGGAGGGAGGGAATCTGTCCGAGAGCGTAATGTCAGTATCCAAAGTTTCCACGAGATAGCGTGAGTGTCGCCTTGAAGTCCGTTCAGCTCAGAGCAGCGGGCAGAGCTCTCAGTTGACGCTCGACTCGGCTCAGCGAGGGCAACAACAAGAAAGGGGATCTTGCCATGTGTGCATATGCGCGATCGTGTATGTGTTGCCTTTTCGGGAGAAGCTCGATGAAAGTAGCAGATCCTACTACATCTGTCGTTTGAAAGAAACCGCTACACCCATACAACTATCTCCGAATGGTTTTATTCCTCTATGTGGGAACCCCTGGTGTCGCATTAATTTTGTCTCGGGATACCTTTACTACCTGGATTCGGGAGCGATACATGGAAAAGATTCTTTTTTACCCTCTCGAAAAGCCTCGAATCAAGGAGATCTACTTTAACATTTGAATATATTGCTGTCTCTCTTTCGCTCTTTTATAAACACTCTATCTTGCACGCTCGTTTTTCTCTATATTTCTATCTCTTTCTCTCCCTCTCTTTTGGTGACGGGTTGTGCGCACTGTGCTCGGAGTGACGTTCCTTTGGGATAAGGACAGAGAGTATAGTTATGAGGGTACTAACGGCGACGACAACGACGTTACTACTGCTGACGAGTTCCGTCATTGAAGAAAGAGGAAAAGGGACGACACGCGGCCAATGCGTTCCCGCCGCTTGCGGAACGTCCATCGTGACGTTTCTCACGCAGTGAAACGATACAGCGATTGCCAAGTGAAATTCGCGAGGAATACTCCTCGATTAGTCGACTCTCGTCATAGCGTAAAGCTACGACCTTGAGCGTACATAGACGTCAAAGTTTCATTAAGTATCGAGTTTTATTAAATCGTGTTGTGTCGTTTTTTTTCCCCTACATTTCTATCCCGGATCGTCGTGGATTTGAAAACCACTACGACGAAATTTGGAACACGTATGCTGAATTTGGGTATCCTGGTGGACACCTGTACCAACGATCTGTTCCGCACGTGGCCCCTGTCACCCGCCATTGTCGACCCGCTCTACAACAACGTTCCGCTCATCGTCGTCGTTTAACGGCCGACGCGACGACGCGGCTCGTATAATTTATCGCGCCTTCGTCCTCCGTCCCTCCCTACGGATCCTCCTTTGCCCCGTCCACCCTCTCCCCTCCTGACCGCGGTTCCTTACGATCGGTACGCGCGCTCTGTATTTACTCTTGGTCCGCCTTGCTATGCTCGCACCACCGGCGGCGGTGAATCCTCGACGCTGATCCTCGCACTTTGTCGCGCGCGTCCATTCCTCGATGACGGACCGTCTCGCTGAACGCTGAACGCTCGTCACCCGCTCGGTCGGTCGGTCGGTCGGTCGGCTTTCCCAATTCTCTTTCTACCATTTATATCCCCCTGACCCCTCCCACCTTTCTATCCCATAACTCGATATTTTCTCCGGCACTCTATCACCATTACCACCTGTCATCTCCTCCTGTAATCGCTCGGCGTGGGTGCCACGGAATCGCCGTCGTCCCTCGACATCGGCGTTATAACATCGGCAATAAATCGGCACCATCTGCACCATCACCGATCACGTGGCTTGCTCAACGGCGACGCTGTACGACAATGTTCACGCCGCGCCGCTGTGCGGCTCCGGCGTGGGCCACCCTGGCTCCGTCACGCCGATGGGGACAGCCACCGGAGCGGGGCATTCCGCCGGGGTGACCTGGTGGTCCATGATGAACGGTGCCCTCTACGACGACAGTCCACCGCCGGTTCAAACTACAGCCTCGACTCTCGTATCGCTCCAACAACAGCAGAGCTCGACTGGAGGTTCTCATCAACAACAACAACAACAACAACAACAACAACAACAACAACAATCGCAACAGCAGCAAGCAACGACACCGACCTCCCCGGGTGCCCCAGCATCATCAGGCACGACCGCACCATCGGCACCGTCAGCAAGCGCCAGCTCGACCTCGCCGAGCGCCTCCTCGGTCGCGAGCAACAGCGCGGCTGGACCACTCCATATACCTGCGAAAAGGCTTACGGCTACCCCAGGCGGGGCAAGCGGAACCGGCTCGAGCTACGGCGAGGTATCCTGTGTCGAGGCATCGTCGGTTGGAGCGGCTGGCGCCGCGGCATCGGGCGTGATACGACACTCGCACTCGTCCTCGGCGGGCTCGCAAGGCGGTTGGAGTTACAGTCCTCATCAGCCTCAGGACACGCATTACTCCTCCGCGACGAGCGACTCGTTAAATCATCATCAAACGTACGGGGCTAACAACGCCCCGACGTATTACAATCTGGCGGCCGATCCGACCTCGACGTCCGGTTCCACGAGGGACAACCGGAAAGCTGGGCCTGCGGTGACCTTTTGGTCGCCTGCAACCGCGACCGTGGCCTCGGCAGCTACCACGCCGGACTACAAGCCGTACAATTCTGCAGGGGCTGCTACCGCGAGCGGATCATCCAGCGGTGCGGCCGGTGGTTCCTCCTCGGCCACTGCAGCGGCCACGGGACCACCCGATCCTGCCGTATCCTCTTGCCACCAGAGTAGTTTTGGGCAGAGCTGGTGCAACTACGCGCCCTACACGACTGCGAGGCATCATCATCCAGTCGACACAGCGGCTCATCATCATCCACACTCGCAGCCGACTGTTCCATATCTAACACCCTCTGCGGTCGACGATCGAGGCAGAGTTGCAGCCGCGATGGTCGCAGCGGAAGGAGCCTTTCCTCACGATGGCTATGGTGGACTGAGGAACTATGGGGCACCCGAACCCGTCACTTCCAGTCCCTATCCACCCCCAGGTAAGCATCGACTCTGACTCCTCTTCCGTCTTTCTTTCGTCTCTCTTTCTCTCTTATTCTCTTTGACTCGAACCTGCAACGTGCGAGCCGCGGCTCTCTGACTTTATTGGCGGCCGTAACTCGTAAAACTCAGGCGCGCGCCTCCGATCAGCTGATCCATTCCAAAGACCCGTGCCATCCTCGCCTCTTATCCTTTGCTCCCTGCTTTTACCCATGCTCCTAACTATGCTCCTAAATACAACTATCCTACCTACAAAACCCATTCTAACACCTTTTTCTTTCTTTCTTTTTTCCTTTTTTTTTCTTCATATATTTTATTTCATTTTATTCCCACGGAACTTCTAGTTTATTTTATTTATTTTTCTGTTCTTAATACATACCTCGCATATATACGATTCTCATTTATCGACTAAATCGCTTCTACCTTCGAAGTTGTACACGCGGAGACCCGATAAAGCGAGTTATCGCTACTCGAGTTAATAGTATGCGTAAGCGAACAAGAGAAAGAAAGAGGAAGAGAATGATTGAATGAAAGAGAGAGAAAGATGTACGCGCGCAAGCTGCATCATATACATATACATATATACGTATACTTCTACGTACCACATACAAAGTCTCTTTGGAAAGCGCTGCGTCTAGTGTACACGGCTCCCAATAGATGGCAGCGCTATTATCTTTGCCCGTTCACTCTGCTCACGGCAAGAAAGTACCGCCACTTGGCCCCTATCGTCAACTCCATACACGTACGCTTTTATGCGTACGTATATATGTATTGTGTATGTATGTGGCTGTGTGTAATGTTTCGTTCCGTTTTCTTCTATACGAACGGACGAGCCTTGGTCGAGTAACGAGCTCGAGCAGGTGGATTTGCAGCGTTTTTTTATCGAACTAAATCACTGTTCCCTTTTATTCGATTTATCGTCAAATTCAACACTTGGATACTTTCTTTATTTGTTAAATAAATATTCTTATTTCTCGATAATAACTTAGTTTTTGATATTATCTTTTGCCTTTGAAAATATTTTCTATCTTATTTCAAATTTTTAAAACAATTTTGTAAGGTTTTTATTTTTCAAATGAATTTTTTATTATTAAACGTCGCGAGAGAGTAAATTTTTGGAAAAACAAAAAAAAATAGAATATATACATACCGGTTTGACATATTTTAAGTGAGTCGATCGAGATTCTTTACTTCTTCCTGTTATATCTTATTCATAAGGTTGTTTGATAGATATGAGTATATCGATTTCTCTCAACTTATGTTATTTTCCCGTTACATATGTATTCACTATAGGACACGTTTCTACTGGTCGAGAGAAGATCGAGTGTTGGACGGTGATATTGTTTTATCTCAAATATTCTCTCCCCACGATCGCACTTTGTTATTTGCAAAACACGATTCTACAATACTTTGTTCCTTTCGATTGTCTTATCGTTCGTTTCTACGACTCCCAATAAAAAACTTCAGAATATTTTCTAATGATCTATATGTACGTATATATATATATATTTTATTTAAGGATAAAGATAGAATTCCATCTATGCGATAAAGTATCGATTTGTAAAGGCGCGCAGAATACGAAAGTTCACGCAATGTTTTAAGGACGAAATGAACAGCGTATCATAGTTGGGACAATCGATTGGTCGTTATTATTCTTATGGCGAAAAGCCATGAACATCTCTCTTAAACTTATCGAAATTCATGAGAATCCTGACCTTTGTTAAATAATTTGCATATTTGTACGGTTTTAGTGAGCAATAAATTCCTGTCGCTTAAGCAATTATACCGCATTGCGTAGCGAGACGAGAAGATGATCGTTGTTAGGCTTTTATTATGTCCATCTGGGTTACGCCTAATTAATCGAAATATCCGAGCCAACGTTAAATTCAAATTGATCGAAATGATTTCATTAAGTCTCGAATAGATCGAACAAGTATTAAAATAAAAAGAAAAAAAGTAAAAGAAGCTCATTTGTTAATGATTATTAAAAACTTTTTATTGTCACATAAGATTTTCTATAAATACTCTAATTAAGAATATAATTATTGAAATTAAAATATTTTTAAATGTTGTTATTATTTTATGCAATTTTCAAAATTGACACATACTTTTAAAGAATAATAAATAAATTGAATGAAAGAAAAATCTTGAATCATGAAAAGAACTTACATAACTCTGATTAGATTGACACGTTTTCATAATCGTAGTTTTACTTGCAGTAAGTTACAGTTTGCATCAGAACAATGTTTCCTTTTTCAATATAAACGGTTTATGAATTTAGCAATGTTTTCGTAAGTAGCAACAGGAATCACCGGCGCGAGTAAATGTCTGAATGAACTACTTAGTAAGGTTGACTCTTATTGAACTAAGAAAAGGAGATAAAGGAAAAGCTAAGAGAAAGGAAGGAGAGAAACTAGTAATAATTCCGCGAGGCAGAGCAGAGAGCTAATGCTTTTTGTTTGGATAGTACAACCGGTCCAATTATATCATACCGTTTCGTCGTGTTTTCGAAAACGGCTGGTGACTCTTCGACAACCCTCGTGTGCATATACCATACATACAAATCCGACTGTCTATATAGTTCACATTTACGCACTCTACACGAGTTCTCTCTAACGTTAGAGACATTTCAGGAACGAGCATTGACCTTCTTGGGCCCTGTTCTTACGAGCCTAGATTTCTTTCGCTCGTAAATTTAATTGACATTGATTATGTTTTGATCCATACGATAGAAGAAACATGTAATAAGGTTGGGAACAGTGATTTAAGAAAAAATCAAATATGATATTTGTCAAAATCGTAATCCTAATTAAACATCTTATTCCTTTTTCCCTTCAACACACCTTGAGATCGTTCTATCTAAATTAAAAGATGATCCATAACGAATGAAAAAATCTAAAAAACATAAGCAGTCTTATAACTGACAAACTAATTGTGTTAAGTGATGTGGGGTTCCTCCCCATCTTCGTTTTTTCCAGCAGGTTCCCTGGCAGGAGTCGGCGTGGGCGTCGGCGTAGGTGTTGGTTGCGGTGGTTCGACGCCTTTAGACTGGACGGGTCCAATGACGGTTCGAAAGAAGCGCAAGCCGTATTCAAAGTATCAGACCCTGGAGTTAGAGAAAGAGTTTTTATACAACGCGTACGTCTCGAAGCAGAAACGATGGGAACTCGCGAGGACATTGAATTTGACCGAGAGGCAGGTGAAGATATGGTTCCAAAATCGACGTATGAAGAATAAGAAGAATACGCAGCGCCAGACTCAACAACAGCAGAATAACAATAATAACAACAATAACAATAACAATAGCGCAAACAATGCGAACCACCACGGTGGAGGAGGTGCGACCGGTGGTCACCATCATCCAGGTGCCGGTCATGCGGCGCCCTCGAGTCATCACGTGGTCGCGCAGGCGCACCATGCAAACGGTTCTACGAAGCATCACCATCAGTGACCCGTGGCCTTCTCTGGGGTCGTCTTCGGCCACTACCCTCATGGTTCCTCGTCTAGCGCTGGGTCAACAACAGCGGCAACGATTGGCAACGGAGCCAACGTAGGCGTTGGTTCTAGCGTTGGTTCGGGTGTTGGTTCGGGTGTTGGTACGGGTCTCGGTTCGGGTCTCGGTTCGGGTCTCGGTTCGGGTCTCGGTTCGGGTCTCGGTTCGGGTCTCGGTTCGGGTCTCGGTTCTGGTCTCGGTTCTGGTGTAATGACCGGTGTTATGAGTGGTAGCAATGCCAGCGGAATCGGCGTGTCGACGGGAACCCACGGGGTCGGCGGAGGCCATGCGAGTTTGGTGGTAGCAGCGGCGACAGCCGGTATTCCGCAGAGTCCACTTACACACGGAAATTCCGCGACTCCTATCCGATCGGCAAGCGGGGCCAGTGCTGCTGGTTCTACCAGCGATCGAACCGTCGCGATCGTCCATCCACATGGACACGCTCACGCGACCACCCCGCACCATCATCATCACCATCATCATCATCACCATCATCAACTACCACATGTAACACAGCAATATCCTGCGCTTCTTCATCAAACCTCGCATGGCTTGGCCGCCTGAATTCTTTCGATCTACCGACGCCCCAGAGAAACTACATTACGTACACAACTAGCTCGCTTCTACAGCCGGTCGCGTACAACGAAAAATGTGTACACGCGTGCACGCGTCGACGCAATGGACTCTCTTTTCCTTCTCTCTTTCTCTCTTTTCTCTATATCTGTCTTTCCGTATTACTTTCAGCAGTCTTATAAACTGTTTGATCATTTTACGGAGAGATACGATACGAGTAGTATAAATATTATTATTAATAATAATTATTATTATTATTATTATTATTAATTATTATTATTATTATTATTATTATTATTATTATTAATTATTATTATTATTATTATTATTATTATTATTATTATTATTATTAATTATTAATTATTAATTATTATTATTATTACTATTATTAAATATTATTATGTATTATTAAAACGGTTATCTATTAAATGCAAGCGGAAGGTTGTTGTATAAAAAAAAATTTGAAAAAAATAATTAAAGAGCAGACAACGGATGCATCAAATGCACCGGAGACTTTTCGTCGAGTATATCGATATCCAGTGTCGACCAGCTTCTAGTTGAACGCGTTGTTGATCGTCGTCATCGTCGGGCAAAATACTTCGCGCGACACCAAGCAATCTGTCCAAACCGTAATCGGTAGTATTTTATCCAATTATACATATACATATATATTTATATATATATTTGGATATAGATACGAGGTAAAAATGTAATTAGCGTCTTCTTTAGCGTCTCATACAATTTTCACCCCCCTTTTATCGAGAAACGTACGCCTTCTTATTCTTCTTCTCTTTGTTTTTGTTATTTTTTTTTCTTCACCTTCTTCTTCTTCTTCTTTTTTCAATTCGCAAAACGCGTTGAGTCCGAGCGTTAGTATTAAAATCGTTGCAATTTTCGCTGTAATCTAAGTCGTGCTGTGTTAGAACATCAACTCCTAGGCATCCCCTTTCTTGCGATTAGAAGTGGAACGACACTAAAGGGGAGAAGACAAACGTGAAAGTCGAGGATGAATAAGATGGTAAGTCGAAATAAATTCCTATGAAGAAAAACGTATCGACTGATGATTTGGATCGATTTGGTGCTCAATTTGAAATTTGTTACATTTGAAAATTTCAAATCTTTCTTCGTTGTAATTTAGATAGGAATAAAATCGTTAAAGAGGAAGAAGAAGAAGAAGAAGAAGAAGCGGGAGGAGGAAAAAAAGTAAAAATAAATCAAAGAAAATAAGAAGGAATGAATTTGTAATAGGAATCGAATAATGTCGGTGGTTGATTTGTTCGACACTTGTAAGAAAGAAACATTTTTAGTTGTTACCCATGCATTTCTTTAGATCGAAAGTAGGCAACTAACGGTGAAATCGAATAGTGAGAAGCCCCATCGAGCGTATCGTTTCTTAAAGTTCCAAGCTATCTAACAGCTAGCTTTGCTCTTGAATCTTCGTTGGAGAAGAAGGCGTTATTACGGTACCACTGGCCGGCCGATCGTTTCTAGACAGTTGCAATATTTTTGCGAGAAAACTCGCCCACGCGAGTTCTCCAATCCTACCAGAAGAGAAAATCTTTTTCGTTTGTTCTGGTCTTACATAAAGTACTTAATGAGGAAACGCAAAATAATAGAAGTATATTAGTTTGGTTCTAGCTATAGATGCAATCGTTGAATATTTACAACTTCGATCTCTCTCTTTCTCATGTTCTCTTTCTTTTCTTCTTTCTATTTTTTCTATCGCTCTTTGCTCCTTTGCCGAAAAGAAAAAAACGAAAAAAAGAAAAATGAAGAGACTTGAAAGAGAAATGAAAAACTTTAGCAACGTCCAACGTTTGGACTTGGAGTCTCGTTAGGTATTTTAAATATCATCATTTTGATTCGCCAGTTCCTTTTTCTCGTTACGATCTCATTCCTTTTTCATAGTTCTTTTTTAGTTTTAATTTTTAATTTTTGTTTGTTTGTTTGTTAACTTTTCCTTATTTCCTTTTTTAGATATTTCGATGATAATTCGAAGATGTTAGAATCGTGTTAACCTGGCGAAAGTAAAATGAATGATTAGGTGGGAAAGAAAAAAAAAGAAGGAAGAAAAAAAGGAAGAGGGCATTGATTATGCACGTAATAACTCGACTAGCGGCTCGACTTTTACGTAACGTGATTCTCCTCTTACGTGTCCTACGAACGTTTCTTTCCCTTCCTCCCTCGAACGAACGTTGAGAAAATCGATGAACGATCTTGACCTCGACTCAAAATTTACGAACGTTAATACGTCACGTTCGTAATCGTTTCAATAACTTTTTTCTTTTTATTTTTATTTTTGATTTTAATTTTCTTTTTTCCCTTTTTTTTTTTTGTTTTAAAGAAAGAAAAACAAATTAGAGAAATTTATTCCGAATAGGTCTCCCGTGTTTGTTCTTTTGTTTTACAAACTATAAATCAAGTATATCTAACGTGATTGATTTTTTATTCTATTATAAATTTGTTTAAACGTTGAAATTGAAAGGAAATAATATATTTAATAATAAATATTTACATATATTCAAAATAATGAGAAGAAATGTTGTAAGAACAAATTTGTCGATAAATCATGTTTTAATACCGTTCGTCCTGTATAAAATGTGCAACCTTGGCCCACTATTTCCTAAGCACATGTTACATAGATATTACATATATGTGTATACACGTATATATATGCAAACACGCACATATATATATATATATATATATATATATACATAAATATATATACATATATGCAAATATATAAATATATACATATATGTATATTCGTTTTCTCGAGTGTCTCGATACGTCTTCGACGTATGCATTTGAATGTGTGTATGCGTATATGTGTGGATAATTATGTGCGTCCAGGAGAATGTGCGTTTTCCAAAATAACGAATATGCTTTTTTTCCGAAGAAAGTTAATAAAATTTCAGTATGTAGGTATGCAAGAATAGAATAAAACAAAAGAGAAGAAAAATATATACAAAAATAAAAAATTTTGTAAACTTTTCTTCTTGGATAAAACGTGTTACAAAATTTTTGCGAATTATTATAAATCTAACGAACGAGTGAATGAACGTAGTGAGAGAGAAAGGGAGTAAGAATAATTATATATATAAATACATATATATATACATAAAATGAAAATAATATGCGACGTACGTGTATAAATCGAGTCTAAAAGCGTGACTGTGAGGGATTTGTTTAAGTATTTTAAAAATCTATGAAAAAGTGGATTCGGGATAATGTATAGTTCTCTTCAAGGTACTACGATAGTTATTAATACAACTATATGATACTATATGGAAAAAAAAAATTAATTAAGATAATAAAAGATCGAAGTGAAGGAAAAAAATATTCGAGAGAGGATTAAAGAGAAATGAAAATGAGTGAAAGAAACAATTTTTTTCAAAATAATGGACAATGGTCGCAATCCGGTCATTGTGTTATCTAGGACTTTATTGAAAGGAAAACAAAAAAAATTGTAAGTAATTATTAATTATTAAATCGCGGACGATTTTTATTATTCCTATTGATAAGATTATTATATTATTATTATTATTATTATTATTATTATTATTATTATTATTATTATTATTATTAATTTTATTATTATTATTCTTATT